CCCAAGTCCAGGCATGGTGGCTCACACCTATAATCTCAGCACTTTGGAATGCTGAAGCGGGCAGACAGCTTGAGCCCAGGAGTTCGAGATCAGCCTAGGCAACACAGCAAAAAGCATCATTACAAAAATTAAATTAGCCAGGTGTGGTAGTGTGCGTCTGTAGTCCCAGCTGCTCGGGAGGCTGAGGTGGAAGGATGGCCTGAGCCCAGGAGGTTGACCTGTGGTGAGCCTGCTTGTCATGATCCTGCCGTTGTCTTTCAGCCACTGGGCGACGGAGACCTCAGCTCAAAAAAAACCAAAACCAAACCCGAACAAAACAAAATGCAAACAAAAAAATCCCCGAAAATTCTCATCCCAAGACTGACATCAATGTAAAAAAATAAGAGCCCTCCCTGTAGCTGGAGGCTTCAGCAGTACATAGAAAGTCAGTGCGTGGCCGGGCTTGGCAGCTCAGTTTGTAATCCCAGCACTTTGGGAGGCCAAGGCAAGTGGATTGCCTGAGCCTGTGGGTTCGAGACCAGCCTGGACAACTTGGCAAGACTTCATCTCTACAAATAAAAAACTGAGATTACAGGCTGAGCCACTGAGCCCAGCCTAGGGGTCAACTTTCAAGTGAGAGAGAGGTTGGATGTAGCAGCGGCTGTAATCCCAGCACTCTGGGAGGCTGTTTGAGTTCATGAGTTCGAGATCAACCTGGGCAACATAGCGAGACCTTGTCTCTACCAAAAAAAAAAAAAAGTCAGGTGTAGTGATGAACACTTGTAGTCCCAGCTACTTGGGAGGTTGAGACAGGAAGGATCAGTTGAGCTCAGCCATTCAAGGATGCAGTGAGCTGTGATCATGCCACAGCACTTAACATACTATCTCTATATCCAGTTCTATCTCAGGAACACAGGAGTACTTGGGCAAAGACTTAAAAGAGATCCACCACTTTGCTCTTAAACCATGGAAAATCAAGTCTGTGCTAGACAGGAGAGAATTCCAGGTGTTTTTTTTTTTAAATTATAAAGATGTGGGGTACAATTCAGGGTTAGGTATACAAACGTTGATTATGCAGGTACCTTTGTAGATGAGATGTGCCCCTTCCTCACCTAGCAGCTTCTCTCAACTAGAATTCCAGGTTTAATCACCCCTCTGAGGAAGAAAGAGGCCCAGCTGGTCTCAGTGGCTCAACCTGTAATCCCGCGCTTCGGGAGGCTGAGGTAAGTGGATTGCCTGAGCCAACTGTATTGCCTGAGCCAACGAGTTCGAGACCCGCCAGGGCAACTTGGCGAGACCTCTTCTTTACAATAAATAAAAAAATTAGCCGGGCATGGTAGCGCACTCCTGTAGTTCCAGCTACTCAGAAGGCTGAGGTGGAAGGATTGCCGGAGCCCAGCAGGTCAAGGCTGCAGTGGCCGGGAGTGTGCCACTGCACTCTAGTTTG